TATTACCACTCCTGCACTCCAGATTTCTCTGCAGTTTGATGTGCAGTTTGTCAAGTTTCTGAAGCTGTTGGCAAAAAGAGGCCACAGCGGGAGTGCAGAATGTTAGGGCAAGTAATCCAGTTTAGAAAAGAGTGCACACATTTAATATGCATTTTGTGCACATTGCGGGCAACTGTGGCTCAGGGGGTAGAGTGGTTGTTTCCCAATCAAAAGGTTGGCAGTTTGACTCCTGGTCTCCCCAGTCCACATGTTGAAGCGTCCTTGGGTAAGACACTGAACCCCTAGTTGACCGTGGTGGGCAGGCAGCGACTGACAGCACTGCCATCAGTAAAAAAATTCTCCACTGGGATTAATAAAGTGTTCTTTAAAAACTGCTAACATGTGAGTGAGGGAAAAAGGTTTGTCTGCTGGTCTCCCTTGACCAAGAGGACAGCAATGATGTAGGATAAGAATGTGTCAGAAGGGAGTTCATATACTTCAGTGAGGATCTGAAAAAACATAACAAGTGTGTACATGGTGAGTGTAAATTAACCATAATATTTTATCTATCATATGGTTCTAAGATCAAAAGCACCCACAGTAATGGAAACCACATGGAACAAGATAGTCAACTATGATGATTTTAAAATCCCTCATATAATTTGGCTCTAGAATTTGATGTGAGTCTACAGTTAACATCAGGCTTCAGGAGTTTGACAGTGTGTGAATGTTTGTCCTGTTACCTACAGTATGTGTAGATTTAGTACCAGTGTTATGTCCCCAAAGCAAACCTACAGTATATGGAACTACAGGATGTATCCCTCCAACACTGCTCCACAAAGAATTGGAGCTGAAAAGCCTCATACTGATTTCAGCTGAAGTGTATACTCCACTTTTATGCAAATCAAGAACTGTGGCTTTTCTCCCACATTACTTTGTAAAAGCGTTACAAAGGAATAATTTCCTAGTCAGTATGAACAGGAGTCTACCAGTATTTTTTTCCGTGTATTGTACTTATAGTATGTGCATTTCTTTCATAATATATATTTTTGGGAAAAACATTTAGTGGGTTCCCTTAGACCATGTAGTCTTGCTTTGCAAGTTCAAACTCCAGACAAAATCTGACAGCACAGTTAAATGTAGACTATAACATTATGGTTAACATCTCTGGTGCATACATTTAATATGTATTTTGTTTGGTCTCATTTTGGTTTCTTATGTGCATTCTACAGGTCACAGACAAAACCCTACACCAGGAAACCACAGTGGGAATACATCATTAACCAAGATCATTCAAACCAAGCCAGTGTATAAATTGCAAGACAATGGGATTGTCGTCATGAGCCAAATGGTGTTGCAAAAATGGGGTAGCATTCTGCTGGCAGCTGCCTTTTAGTTTGACTTAATAAGTGCTTTAAACCCAAACTACCCTCCTGACCTCATCACATTTAAAGCACACCACAAGGTTTTCATGGAGCTGGAAGACAACAAACTCCAGGAAATCACAAGTTCCCAAAAATGGGTAGTGTGCTGTTGTGGGACAGAATTCAGTTTTCCTTTCTGCTATCTTGAAATACAAGCAGTATGGCCCCCTGTATTGCACTCACGGACTAGCAGCAGTCATGGACCTGATGTCACTAAACGCCACTGGATATGCTGTTCATTTAATCACACCTCGTCTTTGACTGCATCACACCTACATTTTAAGATAATTTTTATTGTTTTCTTTCTTGTCAGAACTGTTCTGTTTAGGTTCTAACTGGGTTTGGTGCTGGTGTAATATTTGGTAAACCTAACTTTAATATATGCAACCGATGTCATTTTTTTCCAATGTAAATCCAACACTTTTTTTCAGTGTAGGTGTGTGGTTGTTTATCTGAAAGTGTTAGCCCTGTGATTGATTGGTGACCTGTCCAGGGTGTACCCCACATCTCACCCGATGTTTGTTGGCTTTAGAAGCTTCTGATAGGCTAATTAACATCATTTGAGGATACATTTTAAGACCTACCTTCAAACTCATTACCTCTTTTGTTTGACATCATGTAAAATTCAAAAGAAATCACCCAAGACCTCAGAAAAAATTGTGGACCTCAAGAAGTCTGGTTCATCCTTGGGAGCAATTTCCAAAAGCCTGAAGACCGCTCAGGAAGGAGACACATTCTGTCTCCTTGAGATGAATGTACTTGAATAGTACAAATCAATCCCAGAACAACAGCAAAGGACCTTGTGAAGACACTGGAGGAAAGAGGCACCAAAGTATCTATATCCACAGTAAAATAAGTCCTATATTGACATAACCTTAAAGGCTGCTCAGCAAGGAAGAAGCCACTGCTCCAAGACTGCCATTAAAAAGGCAAACTACGGTTTGCAGCTGCACATGGAGACAAAGAACCTTTTGGAGAAATGTCCTCTGGTCTGATGAAACAAAAATTGAACTGTTTGGCCATAATGACCATCATTATGTCTGGAGGAAAAAGAGGAAGGTTTGCAAACCAAAGAACACCATCCCAACCATGAAGCACAAGGGTGCCAGCATCATGTTGTGGGGGTGCTTTGCTGCAGGAGAGACTGGGGCACTTCACAAAATAGATGACATCATGTATGTGGATATATTGAAGCAACATCTCAAGACATCAGCCAGGAAGTTAAAGCTTGGTCACAGATGGGTCTTCCAAATGGACAACGACCCCAAGCAGACTTCCAAAGTTGTGGCAAAGTGGCTTAAGGACAACAAAGTCAAGGTATTGGAGTGGCCACCACAAAGCCCTGACCTCAATCCAGTAGAACATTTGTGGTAAAAACTGAAAAAGCAAGCAAGGAGGCCTACAAACCTGATTCAGTTCCACCAGTTTTGTCTGGCGGAATGGGATAAAATTCCAGCAACTCATTGTAAGAAGTTTGTGGAAGGCATCCTGAAACATTTGACCCAAGTTAAACAATTTAAAGGCAATATTACCAAATACTAACCAAATGTATGTAAACTTCTGACCCACTGGGAATGTGATGAAAGAAATAAAAGCTGAAATAAATCTTTTTCTCTACTATTATTTCAACATTTCACATTCTTAAAATAAAGTAGTGATTCTAACTGACCTAAGACGGGATGTTTATAGGATTAATTGTCAGGAGCTGTGGCTAAGGTGTATGCAAAATTCTGACTTAAACTGTACATAGGTACTGTATGTGCATGTGCTAATCTCACATGTTAACTAGGGACATGTTAACAAAATTTCACACTACAGTTTTTATGGCCAGAATTATTGGTTTAAACATTCCTGAAATACTACCAGGGGTATTTACAATACAGCAAAAAGAAAAAAAAAGTGCTATGTGTTCCACACTGGTAAATGCATTATGTACCACTCTGGAGCTCCTGGGGTGCTGTTATGTTGCAGATACAAGGTTAATGATGCTAGCAGTTGGTGGTTACATTTCAGACTCAACCAGTGATTTTATAACAGGGAACCTGCATCTACTCGCTGATATTTTGCTAGTAAATATCTTTTAGTTAAATAGATAGATACACTAGAAATGCAATAACAGAATCGTCTGCAAATGTTATTGAACAGTTTGATGACTCTCATGTTGGCCCCTGCACAAGGCTGTGTACAGAACACACAAAAGGGGTGAGAGGACACACCCCTGGGGCAATCCAGTGGGTGCAAGTGTCTTATCAGACACTGTTTAGTTTCACTTACTGAGACCTTTCGGCTAAGAAACCTAAAATCCAACAGATCAGATTAGAGTCAGTGTCGTGGGTGCATTTTGGCCTGTGTGGCTGAATGCAATTACAACCTGATGAAAAACTAATAAAAACCAAGCATGAGTGATATGCGAACTGAAGGAAATCAAAGTTTGCCAGCACCTGATGCATAACCATCTCCTTGACAATCTTCTCAAAGGTTTTCATGGTAAGGGAGGTCCGGGCCAAATGTTTGAAATCACTGAGCGCTGTAGGTGTGTTAGTTTTTGGCACAGGTACAATGACAGAAGATTTCCACATACTTGGAACTTTTTAAAGTCTTAGTGATGTTGTAAAAATAGACCTAAAAATATCTGCCAGCTGTTCGGTTTTTTTAGTATACACTCCCCCAATACCATCACTATAAGCCACTAATCATGACACATCCCAACTACTGTAGCTTGACCTGTCATATGATAATAGTATGTCATCACTCCTTTGTTCAAAGTTCAAGTTCAAGGTGTTTTTTTTTGTCATATGCACAGTTAGAAAACGTGTTTCCCTGTACAATGAAATTCTTACTTTGCCGTCCAAAAAAATACAAATAAAATATAAAGTTTGCGTCTCCGTCTCCGGGTTGCTCTCCTGATTTCAGCCTGCTTGCTTGTGCCTGGTGCTCCGGGAGCTCCATGAGGGTGATGGTGGCTGTCCTCGCCATTGTTGTTATTGTCGCCAGAGCGAACAATGAGTTGTAGCTCCGGTGGTATGAAACCAGTAAATTCTCAGTGGCTTTGTGAGTTGGCGATATCCAGCAATGCCTGTCTGTTGTATGTAAGCAGTGCATGACATTTGAGCACTGTAGAAAAAGTAAAAAACACACAAAAAAGAAGAAAACGAAGAAAAAAACCGGCATTCAAGAGTGGAGCGCACAAACACGTTCGCCTCGGTGGGCGCCATGTTGTAATAACACTAACACTAACTTTGTTGTAAACAAAGTGAAACATATGATGTACAAATAAATTTAGAGCTGTCAAGTAACAGTCTAAATACACTATAGAGGTGCTTTTATTGTGTAGCCTACACTGAAAAAAAGATTTGTATTTACTTGATTGTAATGTGTACATCGGTCCCACACAATGATAATGTGTAAAACCAACATCATTTTTTTTATGTTAACACAGGAAATATGAATGAATTGCATTGAATATACTAGCATAATTTGTGTAAATCCAAAGACCCGGTGTTTCCTTTTTTCAGTGTAACCAGATTTATCCTGTATATATAATTGGACATAATTATAGAAGCACCTGTTAGCCTTTACTTCAATCTTGTTCTTTAGAATGGAGAAATTGCTATGCTGGGAGAGATCACGCACCTCCAGGCCATCATTGATGACCTCACTGTGTTGACAACTGATCCTCACAAACTGCCTCCTGCTAGTGAACAGGTAAAACACACACAGACCCACAGCATACAGAACACATACAGTATAAAGAAACAAACATGAATTGTCCTTAGCTCACTTAGTTTGTTTCTCTTTCAGGTAATAAAGGATCTGAAGGGGTCAGATTACAGCTGGTCCTATCAGACCCCTCCATCATCGCCAAGCAGCTCTGGCTCACGCAAGAGCAGCATGTGCAGGTATCCACACACACATATATACGTGAACGCACAGACATGACCAACACCTTATTTTCATTCTGTTCTTTGCAATGATTTATAAATTGTCTGATCAGAAAGAGGAGCCTTCCCTGATGTTTACATTGCACTGTGATTGTCAGTCTTTCTGCTTGTATGTCAGTCCATCATTAGTGTTTGTCCCATCATCTTCAGTTTAGTGGAATCTCCAAATAAATGAACCTTCAGACAGAGAGAAAGCTTTTTTAACAGCTGAATGAAAGTGTTTTGTTATAAATAGCAAATAAATAATTTCAGACATTTGATTGTATGTTGAATAACAAAATTAATACAAGAAGAAGAATATTATAAAGTATACATCGATTTCCGTGGTTCTCTGTCTGAAAAAAAAATTCACTTGGTGTATATGTGTGAACCAGTCTCTGTCAGCACATGTACATATTAACAGAAGTAGGCAAAGCTATAGCAAGCAAGTTCGCAGTCTTGTGCCTGTCGTGTTTAGTGTGTGTGCCCTGGTTCCTCATAAGCTTACACACTCTCTGTCTACCCTCCTCCCCTTCTCTCTCCCCTCTCTATTCCCTCACCACAAATATTAATTTGTGTATTTGTTTCTTTCTCTGCTTGTCTCTCTTCTATATTTTGCATCTTCTTTGTGTGCCCTTGTGATTTGCCCTCTTTCTCTCTTGTGGGCTGCCTGGATGCCTGGTTTCCCTTCATTTTTGGGACCTCTGCTTTTAACTGTGACTTTAATGTGTCACTGCATTGTGCGGTTTCACTAACCTGATCAACAACAACTTGCGGTGAACTACTCCTGAACTTCAATCAATCATAAACCAATCGCAAAATCCTTCAATGCATCCTTCGATCATCAATTGATCATTCCCACCAATAACCAACCCCTCATATCTTAAACATTTTGTTTGAACTTCCTCTTCCCAAATGGAACCAATACTTTGGCACAATACTTCTGTAATCATGCTCTCTTTCTATGAATACTTCCTTACTCCATATTGGCAACCATCACTTTCATCCTACCCTCACACTCTTCACCCCTTCAACAATCCGCCCTCCCCTGCTTCTCTGCACCTCCCCCCACCCCACCCTGCAGCAGCATCAACAGCGCCCACAGTAGTGCCTCCCGGTCATCAGGTGGGGGGAGTAGTGGTGGTATTGGTGTTGGTGGTGGAGGCTCCCAACCCCACTCACCCACCTCCTCCTCCTATCGCTACCGCAGCAGCCTACCACACCAGCCACCGCCACCAGGGGGCATTGCAGCACATCGCCTCAGCAGTGTCTCTTCCCATGATTCGGGCTTTGTGTCCCAGGATGCAAATATCTACTCTAAACCTCCCTCGCCCATGCCCTCGGACATCACTAGCCAGGTGCTAATGCCTTATGCACACACTCAAATACACACATGCACAAACATATTTATGTGCACATATTCAAAGTAAGTGTGTCATTTGGACTTAAAGCTGTGTTTTCCTGCCACATGACCAAAGTAGCACAGAAAAATCCTCATTTCATTAAAAAGTGTTTGAACCAAGTTAACATCATAATTAACTCTCCTAACTAGCATTTTTATCTTGTCTTTGGAAAAAAGGAGTGATATTTAAGCATCATATTCATACTGTATATACAATGTTCAAAAGCACACAAGTAAACTGAATTTTTCTTTATATATTTGTGCTGTAGAAGTCATCCAGCTCAGCATCATCAGAAGCCTCAGAAACATGCCAGTCAGTCAGTGAATGCAGTTCCCCCACCACTGTAAGTACTCTAGTTCAAGGGTTTTCAACCAGTGGTCTGTGACCCTCTGGTGGTCCATGAAGGCTTTACAGGTGGTCCCTGACCATGCATTCAATAATGTGTTTTCACTGTGGGAATCACACTTTGTTTTATCTTATTTTATTTTATTTTAAACACCTTTCCATGTATTACTTATTGGGGGTGACTGTGGTTCGGTGGGTAGAGCAGTCGTCACCCAGCCAGAGGGTCGGAGGTTCGAATTTCGGTGCCTGACATAAACAGACTTATTGAAGTGTTTTTATTAAGATTCTACCAACTTGACCTGGATACAACCGTAACAATAATTTATATTGAAGAAAACAATTATTTATTGGAATGCAACGGTGCACATTGGACTTGCACACACAAAAATATCAAATGTGCACTGCCTATGGTACAGAAAACTACACTTGGCTCCACTCACCCTGATTCACAAGAATAGCATCCAAAGGGTTGCTAGTTCCAGCACAACCAGTATCGGGCTGTTCAGGGCCATCGCTTGCACTGTGTGGGAGACATTCCCAAATACCTTCCACTGAAGAGTAAAAAGTCCATTTGCTTTTAATGTTGAATGAGCTCATTTTTGCTACTTGTGGCTTGTGAGGAAAAAGCCACTCATTGTGACTGTAGCGCTTGCCTACTATAGTTGCAGGAGGCAGAAATTAGCCCATTACTAGATTATCAAAGATGTTACCATTAGTGATATCCTGTGCTACAGTAGTACAGAATTATATCACTGAAGTAGGAACTGTCAAATCAAATCCATCAGAAGCTAAAAGGCATGCAGGGGCCTGCTTTAACATGTCCCATGACCTTTCTAATATAGGTTTAGTTATAGTAAATTTGGGCTTTCTGGCCTCACTGACATAGTCGTTAGACTAATCAGACTTAGTTTCCATATATTTATTTTGATGCAGGAACATGGTGTCTGCCGATCTGTTCCTGCTCTTCTCTTCCACACTGTCTGTTGCAGGTGTATGTGTGTTTACATGAGCGGTCTTCCACTGCAGCTGGCTGTCTCTCTCTTTCTCTCTCTTGCTCCATGCCTGTGTGTTAATTCTTTTCCTGTTGACATGACTATGTCTCTTGTCCCGCAGTTTGGCTCGTCCTTCACTACCTTCCGCCCTGCTCTCTTTCAATCTGGCTCCACCAGACCCCTCTCTGTCATTCTTCCTGTTCCTGTGTCCCCACCCTGTAAGCGCTCCAGCTCCAGATCCAGCTCCTCCTCCCCCACCTCAAAGGTTTCTCTCTGGAAGGTTTGTTCTCCATTCGCTTCCATTTATTCAGTTGCACTTTTGTTTCATTTTCAGGTAAATGCACAAGGTTTCTTTTCTTTTCAACCTAACTTATTCATTACCTCATTGCTTTGCTTCCTTAAATTGTTCATCCCCATTTGTTGTGTATGCACGTTTTTTTTGGCCTCTCCTGTCACATTCACTGGTCTTGCAAGCTACTGACTAGAGAGTGACTAAAATTAAACAGGGTATGAAGAGCTGACCATTCAAACTCATCAACTTAAACAAATTCACAAATTCATGCTCAAAAAGGCCCCTGCCCCAATACACCCACACAGGCACACGCTTCCAAGCACCCAGACACGATCCACCCGCAAAGGCCCCCTCTCTCTGCACTCAGATGAAGGGCTTTAAACTGCTGGATAGTGGACAAGTCTCTCATGGAAATCACACCTGCTACTTCCTGCTTATTAATTCCACTCATCTTTTCAGGATTGGTCCAAAGCAGGTCAGTATGAGCAGCCAGTAGCTGCAGCAGCAGTTCAAAGAAGAAAGGAACCTACTGATAGGCTGAGGGAAAACGAGGCATCGCCGAGCGCCCAGGGCCACGCTGGGCCATCACACTGTGATGATGGGCAGAGACCCAGAATGATGCCAGCTACTATTGCTGCCAAGGTAATGCTTTAATCAGATTTAAGATATAAGAAAATTGCAGTAAAACAAACCAAGGGAATAGGTTGGGCTGAATACAACATTTGGAGGGATACTGTATTTGCAAATTAGAAA